GGTAAAACTTAATGCCCCCTCCGCTACGGCGGAAGCATTAAAACATAATTTATTGTGTATTTATTTGTTTTGTTAAAAGTTTTGTGTTTCACAACATTATAAGTGTTATTCATTAATATTTTACAGGTTCAACTTAAAAGGCAGTAATATAAGTCTTATTCACCAACAAAACTGACAAATGCTTATCTGGATGTAACTGACAACAAGCTTAGTGTGGCCAAGGCTGCAAGGAAGTATTGTCTTCCTGAACAGACATTGAGAGACCGTGTATTGGGCCACATCTCCATAGACAACGTAAAGTCTGGAGTCCACCAGTGTTTGACTGTGAACAGGAGGCAAGATTGGTTCAGCACATAAAAGAAATGGGTGCAGTAGGTTATGCATACACCAGAGCTGGAGTGGTGGGTCTTGGATCTGAGTATGCTGTTCACTTGGCCATGAAGACAAAAGATGACAAGCAGCTTTCATTGAGATGGTTTTACAGCTTCATGGGTAGATGGCCTGAACTAAAGGTATGGAGACCCAAAACCATCTCAGAACTAAGAGGGAAGGCAACTTCAAGGGCATCCATTTACAGGTACTTTGATGAACTTGATTGTATAATGGAAAAGTATGAACTTAAAGACAAGCCACAGAGCATCTATAATGTTGATGAGAAGGGTTTACAACCAAACTATAAACCACCAAATGTTGTGGCCTCTGCAGAGTATGTACCCACTACCTTATCTTCAGAAAATGGTCAAATAACAACTGTTATGGGATGTGGTAATGCCTAAGGACATCAAATTCCACAATATTTTATTTTGGCTGGTAAACGTATTAGACAGGAGTTGTTAGAAGGGGCCACACCAGATGCTGATGGGTCTGTCAGTGAAATTGGATGGTCCAATTCAGAGATTTTTCAGTCATACCTTGAAAATCATTTCATCAAATATGTCACAGGTATGCAAGACAAACACATTCTTCTTCTGTATGATGGTCACAGGACTCACATAACACCAGATATCATTGATTGGGCAGTAGAGAAAAAAATAATCTTGTATATTTTGCCTCCTCACACCAGCCATGTTCTTCAGCCCATGGATGTTGGTTGTTTTGGGCCATTCGCCAGAATCTACAGTTCAGAATATCATAAATTTCAACGTACCCATTCAACAGTAATCAACAAATACAACTTGTGCTCTATTGCATGCAAATCCTACAATTCTGCTCTTTCTCCTTCAAATTTGCAGTCTGCTTTCCGTAAATCTGGTATTTACCCGTTAGATAGAGATGCTATAGACCAGTCCTTGTTTTCTATTTCTGATGCTATTAATAAAAAGAGCCAATCAGAGGAAAATACCAAAGATGATGATATCCCTGCCATTGAAAATGTAACAACTGAACCAGTTACTATTATTTAATGTCCAATTCAGAGATCAATGCCGACACAACCAATATTATCAAACCAGGAAAATTAAAACATCCAGATTTATGTTGCTGAAAACATTACAGATGAAATAAATTGCTTCACCGAGCGCAGCTGGATACGACCGCAGAGGTCCAACCCTGAACAGTTGGGGCAAAAATGGACACAATATTCGCGCTTGATACAGGTCTGAATTTGGATTGTAATTCAATATTTGACACATAATAAGTTTCTGACACAGAATAACTGTAGTCAAAGAACTTAGAATTGGTTATATGATTTGAATTTATATTCAATTTTTTGCTTTTGTGCAATACACTATGCTGTTGCGAATTGACCCCCCCCCCCCAAAAAAAAATTTACCCCCCCCCCCTTCTTTTTCAAAAAAAATATTTTTTAAACCCCCCCCCCCCCCGCCCTTTTTTTTTTAAGGAATTTTCCTTCGCAGGTCAGATAAATTTTACTGCCCATGTTTACTCTGCAAACAAAAAGAAACTGAAGAATAATGATAATGATATACATTTGTTAATTGTTTGACTGTTTCCAGTTATTTATATTTAATTACGTTTACTGTTGCCAGTTCTTAATTAACAGTTGGGACACTTTTGATATATGAACATTTGCGTGATTTTGTAAATATGAACTTTATCTTGTGGAAAGAAATTAATCATGATTCCCATGGAAAAAATTTGACAGAACTGTGTCTTTAAGATCATTTGTTTAAATTTATGGTAAGCAAAATTAATTGTTATTACCAACTTTTCGTTTTATTTGTTACTTATAACTTTTTAAATTTGATTTTAATTTTTTTTTAAGTAAAAAAAAAAATTTTGGTGTTTTCATTTTTAATTTTTGAAAGGTCTTTAGTCTCCAAAATATAAAATAAAATTCTTGGTCATTAAAACCGTGTAATAAGTTTTGCTGAACTTAACATGTACAAAAATATGCTTACATAATATTACAATTTTATGCTCACCACTTGGCTTCCATACTGCATGTTTTTCTTGTGTTATTTTTAGAACGAACTTTTTCCATGAAAATAGGTGACGTACTTGGCATCCACTGCCGATTTGTTTACACTAGAAATGTTGGTCATAGCAAAGAAACTACGAAACGGAAAGAATCAAACCAACTTGTATTATTTTAATGAGGTTCTAAGGTACCATTGCCGACATTAAAAACAAATGGCTATTTTTTAGTTTTACCGCATTTCGTTTGAATAGTCTTATATCCACGAATATAGGTGACACTACCGTAAAAACACCTTTAAAAAAAATTTCCTTCATCATTTCTGTCTGATTTGAATGAAATGTTTACCATTAGATACAGAAATTTCAATGAGATGTTACCATTAGATACAGAAATTTCAATGAGATGTTACCATTGGATACAGAAATTTCAATGAGATGTTACTATTAGATACAAAAATTTGAATGAGATGTTTACCATAAGATACAAAAATATAAATAAATTTTACCATTTGTAATTAAATAATGATTTGTAGGTAATAACAGGTCATAGAAATATTTCATAATAACCATAGAAAACTGCAAACATTTACGAAATTGCTGAAAGACAGAATGTAGGATCGCTAGGTCTTGCTTTTGCGACAAAATGTTGCAGACTCCACAAAAATGTATTTTTATATAAAAAATGAGAAAAACTTTTGACCTCCAACTGTAAAAGTATGTTACCTAAACATTTCTCAACCATTTTGCCAAACAACATCAGAAGGTTGAAATTTAAAAATTAAACTGATTGATATAACATTTAAAATAATTACTCAACAGATATCATTATTAAACAAAATATCAAAGGATTTCAAAACAGCTCATTGAGGTATTATAATGTAGTTCTACAAATAATTATTTCTTAAGATATGTACATTACAACAAAACAGCAATCAAACTTTTTATAGTGACAAAACCTTAATGTTCAGTTATAATGTCAAACAATCTTTGTTCATGGGCAGATTATGGCTACATTTGAAATAAAAATTGACACAAGTTCTGTATGCTTGCACTGGCAATTAATGAACTTGATCTGATTGGCTCTTATTTAATATGAAGTCTTGTGCCCGGTGGATTATGAGTTGTAACATCAGCTAGCACCTCAGAAACGAACTTTCCTATCATTTTTGGCTTCAATTAGATCAATATTTCCATAAGGAAATTTTCTAAGTATTACTCTTCTTATTATTAAATGGTAATAGATATATTGTCCAATTATTTTGATATTTGTAACCTCTAATTTCATTATTTACATAAATGCAAACGCTCCTATATCAATACCATCACCCAGACAAATAACTGACATACTTCAACATTACATTCATTCATAATAAAGAAAATACAACCATATACATCTAAGCTGTTGTAAAAACCTACATGGGACCCAGGGAGGGCACTTCCTTAACTATGGGTGGGTGTCAATTATGTTTTTGTACAGTGAAATTCAAATTTGCCTCTATAAGTGTTTATTCCATTTTTAAAGTCAATTTAGTGCCTTCCCTGTGTACCATGCATGTTTTAATGGAACAGCACTACAATTTCAATACAGTTTGACTAGATCACACATCAACATTAAAATCACATGTTTTTGTGCCTGAGGTAGCTGGACGGAAAGTTGAATTAAGCTGAGTGAAGCTTTTGATTTTACTTCAGCAATTAACTTCAACTACTTTTTGGTTGCCATTTTTTACACGGCTTTGGCAACCACATGCAAATCACTAATGATCAATCTGTTCTTATTATTTTAAACAAATCTTGAAAGAAGCATAGCTAAGTACATCTGTTGTAAACATCATCCATTTTATACACAATTTCTTGTCAAGTTAACATTTGAAATAAAAAAAAAAAAAATGAAACTGAGAAATTTTGTTTGACTGCTTACAATTACAATTAGCAATAGTTCTGCTTACCATTTGCAAAACTGCATTTTTACATGTAAATTTTTACCTTGATTCCCAATGCACAAAATGTAACTTTGAATAATTGGAGATGTTAGGTCTATAAGAAATGTATAAATAATATATTATAAGAGCAAAACAATTTCTAATAGACCAAATATTTTTTCACTTTAATAAATAAAATGCTTCGCTGAACGCAGCTGGATACGACCGCAGAGGTCCAACCCTGAACAGTTGGGGCGAAAATGGACACAATATTCGAGCTTGAAACAGGTCTGAATTTGGATTGTAATTAAATATTTGACACATAATAGGTTTCTGACACCGAATAACTGTAGTCAAAGAACTTAGAATTGGTTATATGATTTGAATTTATATTCAATTTTTTGCTTTTGTGCAATACACTATGCTGTTGCGTATTGACCCCCCCCCCCCCCCAAAAAAAATTTTTTTTTTTACATCCGCCCAGATTGAGCCATAACCCCCCAAAGCCAATCCTAACCATCCCTTTGTGGTATGGAAACTTGTGGTATAATTTCAGAGAGACCCATACACTTAAACACAAGTTATTGTCTGGAAGTTACAAAAATGCTTATTTTTGGCCCCTTTTTGGCCCCTTATTCCTTAACTGTTGGTACCATTACCCCCAAAATCAATCCCAACTTTCCTTTTGTGGTATTGAACCTTATGGTAAAATTTCATAGAGATCCATTCACTTAAACAAAAGTTATTGTGCGAAAACCAATGTGTCTTCGGACGACAACGACGACAACGCCAATGTCATACCAATATATGACTGCAAAAAATTTTTGCAGTCGTATAAAAACAAGAGTGCACATGCTGAAATGTCTCGCCTGCTTTACTGACCATTGATTTTATGTAGAAAGTCTTAAGGGCATTAAGATACAGTTTCGATCCCACAGTGATTTTTAATATGCTAACAACTTGATTTAATGGAGACATCTAAGTAATATACGATAAATGTTGGCTATGGGGTCTCGTGTCAAATCTGCACAATTGATTCATGTATAACTTCTACTGTACAATTTTACTTCCCATTTCTTCTTCAGGATAACAATTCCACATGGTTGTTTTAAAGTGGTCTTTTCATAATTTCATTTCATGGCTCATTTGTTTTTCTGAAACTTATATTGTTTATTTCATTTCTATAATAGCAATTTCAGAATTTCAGTTTCTGTTATAATTTCTGCTGTACATTTTTCAAAGGAGCATTTTTCTGCACACTTCTTTTCTTTCTTGGTTTTAACCAATCTACTGGTTTATTTTTAACCTGGTTCCACAGTATTTCTTTGATCTTGTAAGGTATCACATTGTGAACTATTGTATGATTTAGTGATGTCAAGGACTGACATTGTGAAATCAACGATTCAAATAGAAACTTGCAATTCTCTGGGGAGTCAAATAAAACATAATCTCTCAATATATCACAAATAAATGAGACTGCTGGTCTCCTAGGGATATTTGAACATGTACGGGAATTTATGTCACATGACATACTGCAACCGATACCATAGGTACATTCACTATCAAAGTAACAGCGTTTATTGCTGCCTAAGTGTAACAGTTGTTGTTCAGACATAAGACTCTCTAAGTTGACAACTTTAGCTTCATAATCTGATGACACACCAAAGTTCGTATGTTTAATATCACACATGTAAAACTTTGAACTGAAAGATTCTGTCAAAATGGAGGACAATTCCAACAGTCCTATAGATATCTGTGCTCTCTTCTCCCAGGGTGGTAACAACCATTGATTATAATTAGGAAAGAAGTACTGCATCACAGGATTTACATCACTTTTCTTTTGATACAATGGTGAACTAGGAATGTAATCATAGGCATAGGCACTTCCACAAGTTCCATTTATCTTAGGAAAACTTGACTCATCTTGAAAGATCAACAGAATGAAAAATTCTCTAGTGTGAAGTAGCTGCCACAAGGTATTACATTCAGCATAATTCATCTGGAATTAAAATTTATCGCTTATTATTCAAATGGAAGATTTGGGTCTAAATAGAAAAAGTAAGACAAGAGAGGACAAACAGAAACTAGCTGATAAAATTTATTATTTGAAAAATAATATGCTGAAACTGTGTAAGATCAATATAAACTCACATTTCACAATTACAATGGTATCATGATATAAATGTGTACCTTGAAATGATCCAATAGACTAAACAAAGCTGACTTTTATAGACCGATTGTGTGTCTGGCATACAAAATTTTAATCCTGGTATCTATGATGAGTTTATTTACAACCACTGGGTCGATGCCAATGCTGGTGAAGGCTTCTCCTTGAGGGTATTATCAGCCCAGTAGTCAGCACTTCTGTGTTGACATGAATTATCATTGATATGGTCATAAGTATAAATTAACTGTTTTTAAAACTTGAATTTTTTTCAAAATACTAAGGATTTTCTACCCCAGTAATAGATTACCTAAGCTTTATTTGACAAAACCTTTGAGGATTTTGGGTCCTCAATGCTCTTCAACTTCGTACTTTATTTGGCCTTTTTTTTTAACTTTTTTGTTTTGAGCGTCAACAATGAGTCTTTTTAGTAAGCAATACAACAATGTTTTGAACTAAATATAAATTGTCATTATGATGGAAATTTTCATATTGAAGTAAAACTTTTTTAAGCTAAGGGCTGTTCCAATAAAAAATACATGGGACCAAGGGAAGGCACTTTTAAATCTATACTATGGTCAGATAGTGTACCACTGGAATTAGATAAGAACATTTTCTTTTGATTGCATTTGTTTGATACTAACATTCTATCTATAACTATTTTTTAATCAGTTTTATTATCAGTTTGATAAAAAGAAACCAAACTGCAACTTAAACAAAATTTTGACAGACTGGTATTATAAAAGCCTCTTGACTAACTAGAGGCTCTAAAGAGCCTGTGTCGCTCACCTTGGTCTATGTGAATATTAAACAAAGGACGCAGATGGATTCATGACAAAATTGTGTTTTGGTGATGGTGATGTGTTTGTACATCTTAATTTACTGAACATTTTTCCTGCTTACAATTATCTCTATCTATAATTAACTTGGCCCAGTAGTTTCAGAGGAGAAGATTTTTGTAAAAGATTACTAAGATTTACGAAAAAATGGTTAAAAATTGACTATAAAGGGCAATAATTCCTAAAGGGGTCAACTGACAATTTCGGTCATGTTGACTTATTTGTAGATCTTACTTTGCCGACATTTATTGTTTTTTACAGTTTATCTCTATCTATAATAATATTCAAGATAATAACCAAAAACAGCAAAATTACCTTAAAATTACCAATTCAGGGGCAGCAACCCAACAACAGGTTGTCCGATTCATCTGAAAATTTCAGGGCAGATAGATCTTGACCAGATAAACAATTTTACTTCATGTCAGATTTGCTTTAAATGCTTTGGTTTTTGAGTTAAAATCCAAAAACTGAATTTTACCCCCATGTTCTATTTTTAGCCGTGGCGGCCATCTTGGTTGGTTGACCAGGTCACGCCACACATTTTTAAAACTAGATAAGCAAATGATGATAGTGGCCAAGTTTGGTTTAATTTGGCCACGTAGTTTCAGAGGAGAAGATTTTTGTAAAAGATTACTAAGATTTAAGAAAAATTGTTAAAAATTGACTATAAAGGGCAATAACTCCTAAAGGGGTCAACTGACCATTTCAGTCATGTTGACTTATTTGTTAATCTTACTTTGCTGAACATTATTGCTGTTTACAGTTTATCTCTATCTATAATAATATTCAAGATAATAACCAAAAACAGCAAAATTTCCTTAAAATTACCAATTCAGGGGCAGCAACCCAACAACAGGTTGTTCGATTCATCTGAAAATTTCAGGGCAGATAGATCTTGACCTGATAAACAATTTTACTTCATGTCAGATTTGCTCTAAATGCTTTCGTTTTTGAGTTATAAGCCAAAAACTGCATTTTACCCCTATGTTTTATTTTTAGCTGTGGCGGCCATCTTGGTTGGTTGGCCGGGTCACGCCACACATTTTTTAAAGTAGATACCCCAATGATGATTGTGGCCAAGTTTGGTTTAATTTGGCCCAGTTGTTTCAGAGGAGAAGATTTTTGTAAAAGATTACTAAGATTTACGAAAAATGGTTAAAAATTGACTATAAAGGGCAATTACTCCTAAAGGGGTCAACTGACCATTTCGGTTATATTGACTTATTTGTAGATCTTACTTTGCTGAACATTATTGCTGTTTACAGTTTATCTCTATCTATAATAATATTCAAGATAATAACCAAAAACAGCAAAATTTCCTTAAAATTACCAATTCAGGGGCAGCAACCCAATAACGGGTTTTCCGATTCATCTGAAAATTTCAGGGCAGATAGATCTTGACCTGATGAACAATTTTACCCCATGTCAGAATTGCTCTTAATGCTTTGGTTTTTGAGTTATAAGCCAAAAACTGCATTTTACCCCTATGTTCTATTTTTAGCAATGGCGACCATCTTGGTAGGTTGGCGGGGTCATCGGACACATTTTTTAAACTAGATACTTGAATGATGATTGTGTTTAAGTTTGGGTGCATTTGGCCCAGTAGTTTCAGAGGAGAAGATTTTTGTAAAAGTTTACGGACGACGGACGACGGACGACGGACGCAGGACGACGGACGACGGACGCAAAGTGATGAGAAAAGCTCACTTGACCTTTCAGGTCAGGTGAGCTAAAAATGAAACTCAAACTAGTGCATTGGATATTGAAATGAAAATTTAATACAGATTATCTAAATGATACTTAAAAGAGGAGAATAAAGGACAATTTCTGGCACAAAAAAAATATGATGCTTCGTAAACAATTGCTATCTTTTTTTTTTAAACTCAACAGAACTTTGAGGTTTCCCATAGAAAACACTGATTTCCCCATATTGAAATTTTTTAGGCGGGAAAGTATTGATTTGTGAGTTATGCAGATGACTATATGCAATATACTGTACCTCTCCATTTGCATTAAAATCTGTAAACCCTATGACTTTATCTAATAGCTTTGGTGAGTCTATTTCTCCTAGGTTATACTGAAGAAACTGGAACACTTTATGTTGGAATGATTCTAGTGATATAGGATAAGGTAAAGGTTCTATTGCAGGGTACTTCTGTAATTTGATAAGTGATTCCTCATGTCTGTAGGTCTGTTAACAAAAATAGCATACATGTTACAATTCTATGATGATGATGCTGATGGATGGCTGTGTCATGTAGTGGCATATTAAATGCATATTAAGGCCAATATCATGCAAATGTGAAGTTAGTAAAAACCATGCTTTGTAAAAGACCCACAAACTGAGCTGATGCTTTTTACTTGCTAGTTCACAAGGTAAGAGTCAGCAGGAATTCCTTCAAGACATGTCAACCTACACGGAAAAATAAGTCCAGTCTTCACTCTTTGTCGTAAATGCCAAGTGTTAAGCAGAGAAGCAAAATTTACCAATTTTCAAGTCTTTTGCTTGACCCAGCTTTGGATTGGATCAACACCCACTCACACTTGAAGCAATCATGCTAACAAGAGCCGACCAAGGCTGTTAGTTAAAGTTCTAAATTCTACAAAGATTACTTAATTGTAAAAATATAGTAAAACTACCAATACAAATATTGGTAGATATTTTTTTTAAAAAAGGGAAAATTCTACAGTGAAATGTATACACATCTTATTCCTATTCTATTTGTCATATATTTTGTATTAAGAAAGTGATGGATAATTGGGACAATTTGAATTTTCCCTTTGACCACTGCAGTATAATTTCAAATCTTTACCAGGTAATGTTTTAATTACAATTAAGCCAAGGGGTTTCATCCAAATGAACTGTTTTATATGGCATAATATACAAGGCAATTATACTATGATTGTTTTGTATTTTTTTTCCATTCTCACAACTTTTGCACTGAATGCAATTTTATGCATGAAATATTTTCCACTGGACAAATTCGTTGATTCATCTCAAGTTTATGTCTTTTATATATCGTTTATGAATAAGTTTTTAAGTGTTCAATGTTTTCAAATATTATAAAGGAGTAGGCCCGGTAAGACCTCTTTTTGGCCCCAAAATATAGTGTTTTTACATAGTTTTTGAAAATGTAAACTTTTAGCTATTTATTGGAAAGTAGAATACTTTTGTTACATAAATATGGACTGTTTTGACAATACAATGGACATACATCAGGTACTAGCATCATTATTTTATGCAAAATTAGTAAGGGTTCCACGGAACCCAGTGTCTCGCCTACTTTTGCTGTTAATCGCAGGCTCAACAAAAATGAGGAGAAAAATCAATAAAAATATTCCTTTAGATACTATCTTTTAATTGTAAGAAGCTTCTGTCAAAGTTTGGTATAAATCCAGGATAGTTTATGAATCTTATAAATGTTTTAAAAACTTTAACTGCAGACTGTATTTAATGTTAACTGAAAGAAAAACTAAGTCCATTTATAAGTAAAATACGGATAACAGGTACAAAATTTTAACAAAATTTCCTTCTAGATACTAACTTTTGATCATAAACAAGCTTCTGTCCAAGTTTGGTACAAATCCAGGATAGTTTAATAAAGTTATTAAAATTTTAAAAACTTTATCCACAGAGTGAATGTATTGTTTCCTGGCAGAAAAACTAAGTCCATTTATAAGTAAAATACGGAAAAAATGATTTTTTTTTTTAACAAATTTACTTCTGGATACTATCTTATGATCATAAACAAGCTTCTGTCCAAGTTTGGTACAAATCCAGGATAGTTTAAGAAAGTTATTAAAATTATAATAAAATGCTTCGCTGGGGCGCAGCTTGATACGACCGCAGAGGTCGAACCCTGAACAGTTGGGGCAAGTATGGACACAACATTCAAGCTTGATACAGCTCTGAATTTGGATTGTTATTAAATATTTGACACAGCATAGGTTTCTGACACAGAAAGAATGTGGTCTAAGAACTTGAATTTGTTTAATTTACCTATTATGGTCCAATGTCCAAAATCAAAATACATGGTTAGAGTCAGCATATCAAAGAACCCCATATATTCAATTTTTGTTAAAATCAAACAAAGTTTAATTTTGGACCCCAACTTGGACAAACTTGAAAACTGAGCCCATAATCAAAAATCTAAACACATGTTTAGATTCAGCATATCAAAGAACCCCAAGAATTCAATTTTTGCTAAAATCAAACTAAGTTTAATTTTGGACCCTTTGGACCTTAATGTAGACCAATTTAAAAAACGGGACTTAAAATTAAAAATCTAAATACACGGTTAGATTTGGAATATCAAAGAACCCCAATAATTCAATTTTTGATGAAATCAAACAAAGTTTAATTTTGGACCCTTTTGACCTCAATATGAACCAATTTGATAGCGGGGCCCACAAATAAAAAATCTAAATTCATGGTTAGATTCAGCATATCAAAGAACCCCATATATTCAATTTTTGTTGAAATCAGAAAAAAGTTTAATTTTGGACCCCAACTTGGACCAACTTGAAAACTGGGCCCATAATCAAAAATCTAAACACATGTTTAGATTCAGCATATCAAAGAACCGCAAGAATTCAATTTTTGTTAAAATCAAACTAAGTTTAATTTTGGACCCTTTGGACCTCAATGAAGACCAATTTAAAAAACGGGACCCAAATTAAAAATCTAAAAACACGGTTAGATTTGGCATATCAAAGAATCCCAATAATTCAATTTTTGATGAAATCAAACAAAGTTTAATTTTGGACCCTTTTGACCTCAATATGAACCAATTTGATAGCGGGCCCACAAATAAAAAATCTAAATACATGGTTAGATTCAGCATATCAAAGAACCTCATATATTCAATTTTTGTTGAAATCAAACAAAGTTTAATTTTGGACCCCAATTTGGACCAACTTGAAAACTGGGCCCATAATCAAAAATCTAAATACATGTTTAGATTCAGCATATCAAAGAACCCCATATATTCAATTTTTGTTGAAATCAAACAAAGTTTAAATACTGGACCCTATCTTGGACCAACTTGAAAACTGGGCCCATAATCAAAAATGTAAACACATGTTTAGATTCAGCATATCAAAGAACCCCAAGAATTCAATTTTTGTTAAAATCAAACTTAGTTTAATTTTGGACCCTTTGGACCTTAATGTAGACCAATTTAAAAAACAGGACCCAAAATTAAAAATTTAAATACACGGTTAGATTTGGAATATCAAAGAACCCCAATAATTCAATTTAAGATGAAATCAAACAAAGTTTAATTTTGGACCCTTTTGACCTTAATATGAACCAATTTGATAACGGGGTCCACAAATAAAAAATCTAAATACATGGTTAGATTCAGCATATCAAAGAACCCCATATATTCAATTTTTGTTGAAATCAAACAAAGTTTAATTTTGGACCCCAATTTGGACCAACTTGAAAACTGGGTCAAAAATCAAAAATCTAAATACATGTTTAGATTCAGCATATCAAAGAACCTCATATATTCAATTTTTGCTAAAATCAAACAAAGTTTAATTTTGGACCCTTTGGACCTTAATGTAGACCAATTTGAAAACTGGACCCAAAGTTAAAAATCTTAATATACTGTTAGATTCGGCATAACAAATAAATAAATGTGATCAAAGATTTTACAAATCTAATGCGCCATACTGTGCAATTAAAGATTACTTCTTGAAATTTTTCAATATTTGAAATTTGAAAAAAAAATAATATTTGAAGAATAATTCTTTTTAATTTCTGAAATCTGAAATGAGAAAAAATTGACCTCCCACAATTTCTTTTTATCCCCCCCCCCCCCCTTTTTTCCCCAAAAAAATTCTTTCCCTCAAGATATGGTCATAATCTCAATTCAAATTTCCAATGGAGTTGGCAACCATAATTACCCATTTAAATTTACCATAGTGCTAACTTAATCTATTTTATAATAGAATTAAAAATATAGTGTCAAATCTTTCATATGGATTTTTTTGTAAAAAAAAAAAAGATGCAACATTTGCAGATATTTTTACTGGTCTTCCTTTATAAATATGCATTTCTTTAAACATAATTTAAAAGCAGTGTAAGGGAAGTAACCAAAACGTTGTATTTGGATTACCTCCCTTAGACTGTATTAAATTATCTTTATTGTTCATTAACCATTACTTTATACATAATTTAAAAGCAGTGTAAGGGAGATAATTTCAATGATGTATTTGATTTATCTCCCTTACACTGCTTTAAATTATGTTTTGTACTAAAGTATTTGTCCATTAACCAGGACAACCTTGTTTTTCCCCCTTTTTTGCCCCTAATTCCTAAACAGTTTGAGCCATAACCCCCCAAAGCAAATCCTAACCATCCCTTTGTGGTATGGAAACTTGTAGTATAATTTCAGAGAGATCCATACACCGTTCCACAGTTATTGTCTGGAAACTAGAAAATGCTTATTTTTGGCCCCTTTTTGGCCCCTAATTCCTTAACTGTTGGTACCATAACCCCCAAAATCAATCCCAACCTTCCTTTTGTGGTATTTAACCTTATGGTCAAATTTCAAAAAGATCCATTCACTTAAACTAAAGTTAGAGTTCGAAAACCAATGTGTCTTCGGACGACGACGCCGGACGACGACGACGACGACGCCAACGTCATACCAATATACGACCACGAAATTTTTTTGCGGTCGTATAAAAAATTTAACCACAGAGTGAATGTAATGTTTCTCGGCAGAAAAACTAAGTCCATTTACAAGTAAACAAAAATACTGAAATCGTCACAATTTTATCATTGTGCTAATTTTAAGACGGTTTTTGTCTAAAATGGAAGTGGTGCACTTGTGTTCAGTCATAATATTTAAATATATGTTGTATTTAATGATAGTACATAACATATATAAAGATTGAGACTGAACACGAATGTTGCCACTTCCATTTTAGACAAAAATCATCTGAAAAGTGACGTTTTATGGCATATTTGATAGATTTTTCATATTTAAGCTTGAATTTGGGCTTCTTTATTTACCAAATCAGTTTAAAATCTTTAACATAAACTAATTGAATTGACAGGTGTAGACACTTAAGTGTTTAAAAAATGTCAAAAATATTTCATCACTCAGATGTACTTCGAATTTTAGGCCGAAATTAGCCCTTACCGGACCTTACCCATTTCTTATAGTAAAAGCTTTCTATGTAAATATGTTGTGCTTTGACAGACATCATATATACTTCTTAATTAAAAGTGCTTGTGAATTCTGATGGGTAAAGATTGCTTTCATTTAGCCATTTTGTTGTGAATTTAGAATAAAATTTTATTATTAATTCAATTGTATTCAGCTAGGCAAATTATAAATTTGAGTTGAAGTTATCTTCCTTTGTTCATGATTGTACATTTGTAGTTTAACCTATTTTTAAAACAGATTCATATGCAATGCATCACTTATTTAATTTTTAATAGAAAAATGTTTTCTAGACAAGTATGGTAATTCAAATACACATCATAGTGTATCTTTAAGGTGGTTTGGGTGTCTTCTGCCATCTTGGATTGTAAAATAGCAGAACACAGGCTTAGAATTTTAATTAGGTCAGCAAAGTTGGATGCAAGAATGCAACTTACTAATAAGAATCTTCATTTACATGAACAAATTAATGTGATCTTCGGTTATAATCACTTATATTTATACAAAAGTAGAATGTTTTTGTTTGATTTCAAATTTTGGGAAACTTTGCCTAACTCAGAAAAAGTATAATTTATAAAGGAATCTTCAGAAATGTTTCTATTATATGTTAAAGCATTTAAAAACGTACGGTGAACCATTTTTCTTTTGATATTCTGAAAGAATTATATAAGAGTTATCTTCTCATATTTTATTGAAAAATTCTATCATTTAGTTTACCTTCTATTCACATTATGATGTTTTTTCTCTGTATAATCAATACACAATGTGTCATTTTTTCACAACCTGTAGCTTGAAAACAAGCTTAGTGACAATCTTTTTTGTTATATTTTTTAACATATCACAATATGTACTGCATTTTGACAAAGTATGAAAAATAAATGTGGATAGTGTCCACATGTGGACACAGATGATGCCCCCTCTTGCATATCATATAGTTATAAAGGGACATAACTCAAGAACAGTAAAAGTGACGCTACCCAAATTTGAACTTGATCTGAGTTTTGTGGTAATAAGCATTGTGTGTAAGTCTCATAACATTTGGTTGCGGCTAACTTAAGAAGGGAACAGAAACTAAAAATTCAGCAATTTTTCTATTTATAAACACGCATAACTCTAGAACGGTTGTGTATAAGTTTTATAACATTTGGTTGAGACAAACTAAAGTTAGAGAAAGGAAACGAAAAATTCAGCAATTTTTGTGTTTATCATGGGACATAACTCAAGAATGGTAAAAATGTCGCCACCAAATTTCGTACTCAATCTGTATTATGTAGTAATAACCATTGTGTATAAGTTTCATAACATTTGGTTGAGGCAAACTAAAGTTAGAACACAGAAACAAAAAATTTGTACTTGATCTTGGTTTTGTGGTAATGAATATTGTGTATAGGTTTCATAATGTTTTGTTGGGGCAAACTTAAGTAACCGAATGGAAACTAAAAATTTTGCAATCTTTCGATTTATAAAGGGGCATAACTCAATAATGGTTAAAGTGACACTACCCAAATTCAACTTGATCTGTGTTTTATCAGTGGAAGTCAAAATTAAACATTGCATTGTATAAAGCATTGATTGTAGTTGATTCAACTATAATCATGGACAAAGGAAGATAACTCCAATTTAAAAATTACTTAATATTTAGAAGAAAATAAAAATTTTGCAATTTTTCCATTTATAAAGGGGCATAACTCTAGAACGGTTGAAGTGACGCCACCAAAATTCAAACTTGATCTGTGTTTTGTGGTAATAAGCACTGTGTATAAGTTTTATAACATTTGGTAAAGGCAAACTAAATTTAGAGAACGGAAACGAAAAATTCAGCAATTTTTCCATTTGTAAAGGGGCATAACTCTAGAACGGTTAAAGTGACGCCACCAAAATTCAAACTTGATCTGTGTTTTGTGGTAATAAGCATTGTGTATAAGTTTCATTACATTTGGTTGAGGCAAACTAAAGTTAGAGTACGGAAACGATAAATTCAGCAATTTTTCCATTTGTAAAGGGGCATAACTCTAGAACGGTGAAGTGACGCCACCAAAATTCAAACTCGATCTGTGTTTTGTGGTAATAAACATTGTGTATAAGTTTCATAACATTTGGTTGATTCAAACTAAAGTTAGAGAACGGAAACCAATTTTGGGACGTACGTACGTACAGACGGACAAGGGTAAAACTTAATGCCCCCTCCGCTACAGCGGGGGCATAAAAATTCTATCATTATTTGTTTGCACTCCCATACCACCTTAATATCTAAGTATAACATATCATCAATAAATTGCAATACATTGACTGGATAGGATCTAAAGAATGATCACTTCACTGCGCTATTTTGTTGAACCATGAAAGGTAGTGATAAACCTGGGAAGATATAGATATCAAGTCAGTACCATATATAAGTGTTTTGATTGCATTTCATGCAATCTTTACCCCAAAAATTGATAGTGTAATGTATTATATTTGCTATAACAGTGTGTCTCTGAAACAATAATGTAGAGGAATATTACTTACTATATCACTGTGTGTCTCTGATACACAACAATAGTATTATTGTGTATATTCCAACTAATTTGGTTCATTGAGAAAGGGTCACATGTTCACCTATATTTTCGAAAGGAAGACTGAAAACAGGAGATAGACAAGTGATATTGCATGGTTATTCTTAGAAAAGTGATATTGCAAGGTTATTTTTAGAATATCTGACACAATCAAAACAAGCAACTAATCAAATGAATTGATGCTCTACTTATTGACAATAATAATATAACAATTGTAGCCTTTGTATGAGGATATATTGACCTAAAGAAGTATATCACCCTTGGACTTGGTCCTCTGTCAATATTCTGCTTTCAGGTCGATATATCCTCGTATCCACCTCATACAAAGGCTATAATTGTATATGTAGAAGAATATTACTTACTTTATCACTGTGTGTCTGTGATACACAATAATGTAGAGGAGTATTACTTACTATATCACTGTGTGTCTGTGATACACAATAATGTAGAGGAATATTACTTACTAAATCACTGTGAGTATCTGATATACAATAGCGTCTCTGATACAAAACAATGTAAAGGTATATTATCGGTACTTACTATATCACTGTGTGTTTCTGATACACAATAATGTAAAGGAATTGACTTCTCAATACAAACACTGTAACATAAATCTCCTGTTATAACTCCACTGGTATACTCCTTACACTGCAATAAAACAATATGTTTACACATAAACTAGTTTGTAACCAAATGCTCCTAAGCACCTGCATTGCACAAATGACAAAAATACCCCATAATATTTCCTGTCAGATTTTCCCTTTTGTCTACAGTTTTCAAAATATTTGCTTTTAACATCTATGTTCTATGTTTAATCATGTTAGAAACAATTGTAGATAGACCAGAATGTTATTCACATGCTAAAATCTAAATGCACCAAAGACCATTTTTGTCCAGATTTGATTTGCAATAGTTCAGCAGTTTCAGAGGTGATGATCTTGGAAATAACAAGCATTCTGAGAGTATTGCATGGCAATACATAGTCCCCTACCGGTTAAAAATTCATTGTACTGGAACAAAATGCTAAATTGATCTATAACTTGTCATGGTGTAAACTATAATAAAAAATAACAAATTGATATCTTCAAGCATGACGAAAAAAAGTGTGGAAAACTGATTATTTGCGTGCAAGGACCGTAAATCTGCAAAATAATCACCTAAACCAATTAATATTCGAACTTGATCTGTAACTGTCATTGTAAAACTATATACCAAATATCAAATCATTAAATACAAGCATAACAAAAAAAAGTGGGGAAAACTGATTATTTGCATGATTGATTGATTGATTGTTGGTTGCTTAACGTCCAGTGGCAAATATTTCATGCATATTCAGGACGAGAACAAATTAACAATAAATACAATAGGTAGGTTCTGTAATAGGCGCGTCCGGGATTAAGGTCGGAGAAATTTAGACTTCCACGGGAAATGAGGGTATATTGGATAGGGACAGAAATTTAGCCTTGCATCAGGTCACCTACGGACCCCTCAAAGAGTTGTTGCAAGGGTTCTTAACGTGCAAAGAGCGTGGCACTCTCTTTGCACGAGGCATCGGATTTAACGTCCCCATTCTGACCGGACGTGGCTGCAAATTTGTACATCCCGCACAGCCAAACGGACGCCCCACTTTAGCACGGGTTTTACTGCTGGTCGGAGGAAGACCAATGGTGACCATACTTCTATTCCCCAGTCACCCTTGGGGGTGATTATTTGCATGAATTTTCTAAGTCCAAGGACCATAACTCTGCACAAAATCATCAGACCAAAACAATAATCGAACTTGATCTGTAACTTGTCATGGTAAAACTATACACCAAATATCAAATCAATATATTCAAGCATCTATAACAAAAAAAAAAGTGCAGAAAACTGATTATTTGCGCGAATTTTCTAAGTCCAAGGACCGTTACTCTGTACAAAATCATCAGACCGAAACAAAATAGTCTTGATCTGTAACTTGTCATGGTTAAATTATATACCAAGTATCAAATCAATATCTTTGAGGATGACGAAAAAAAGTGCTGAAAACTTGTTACATGCATGAATTTTTGAAGTCCAAGGACTATAACAATGCACAAAATCATCAGACCGAAACAAAATTTGAATTTGATCTGTAACTGGTCACGATAAAACTATACACCAAATATCAAATCAATATCTTCAAACACAAAGAAATAAAATGCTCCGCAGGGCGCAGCTTGATACGACCGCAGAGGTCGAACCCTGAACAGTTGGGGCAAGTATGGACACAACATTCAAGCTTGATACAGCTTTGCATTTGGATTGTGATTAAATATTTGACACAGCATAGGTTTCTGACACAGAATGAATGTGGTCTAAGAACTTAAAATTTTTAAATTGGACATTCACCTATTATGGTCCAATATCCAAAATCTAAATACATGGTTAGATTCAGCATATCAAAGAACCCCAAGAATTCAATTTTTGATGAAATCAAACAAAGTTTAATTTTGGACCCTTTTTACCTCAATGTGGACAAAGTTGATAACGGGGCCCAAAAATCAAAAATCTAAGTACATGGTTAGATTCAGCATATCAAAGAACCCCATATATTCAATTTTTGTTGAAATCGAACAAAGTTTAATTTTGGACCCCGATTTGGACCAACTTGAAAACTGGGCCCATAATCAAAAATCTAAATACATGTTTAGATTCAGCATATCAAAGAACCCTAAGAATTCAATTTTTGTTAAAATCAAACTAAGTTTAATTTTGGACCCTTTGGACCTTAATGTAGACCAATTTGAAAACGGAACCAAAAATTAAGAATCTAAATTCACGGTTAGATTCGGCATATCAAAGAACCCCAATAATTCAATTTTTGATGAAATCAAACAAAGTTTAATTTTGGACCCTTTTGACCTCAATGTGGACCAATTTAAAAACGGGGCCCAAAATCCAAAAACTAAATACACGGTTAGATTCAGCATATTAAAGAACCCCAAGAATTCAAGAATAAAACCCCATTGAAATAGGTCAAGAAATAAGCAATTTATACGAAGTATCTTCTTTTGCACAATACTGTGCAATTAAATATTTCTTGCTATTGCGCAATACTGTACAATTGACAATTTCTTGCTATTGCACAATATTGTGCTATTGGATATTTCTTGCTATTGCGCAATACTGTGCAATTGAAGATTTCTTGCTATTGCACAATACTGTGCAATTGAAGATTTCTTGCTATTGTGCAATACTGTGCAATTGAAAATTTCTTGCTATTGCACAATACTTATTATATAATAATTTACACATCCTGTTTGGTGTGTATCTCCTACCATATCATTATTATTTGCTTTTAAATAAAAATCAGAAATAACCAACTTAAAATGGAAAATTTTAAAAGAAAAAAAAAAGGAAAAAAAGAAAAAAAAAGGAAAAAAAAAAAATCCCCCCCCCCAAATTTTTTGAATCCCCTTATGATTCATCACCCCCAAACTCAATCCCAGCCTTCCCTTTGTGGTATGGTACCTTGCAGTACAATTTCAGAGAGATCCATAAACTTGAACACAAGTTATTGTCTGGAAACTAGAAAAATGTGTTTTTTGGCCCCTTTTTGGCCCCAAATTCCTAAACGTTTAGGGCAATTACCCCCAAACTCAAACCCAGCTTTCCCTTTGTGATATGGAACCTTGTAGTACAATTTCAGAAAGATCCATACACTTACACACAAGTTATTGTCCTGAAACGAGAAAAATGCTTGTTTTTTGCCCCTTTCTGGCCCCTTATTCCTCAAATATTGAGGCAATTACCCCCATCATCAATCCCAGCCTTCCCTTTGTGGTATGGTACCTTGCAGTACAATTTCAGAGAGATCCATACACTTGAACACAAGTTATTGTCTGGAAACTAGAAAAATGCTTATTTTTGGCCCCTTTTTGGCCCCCAATTCCTAAACGTTTCGGCAATTACCCCCAAACTCAATTCCAGCTTTCCCTTTGTGATATGGAACCTTGTAGTACAATTTCAGAAAGATCCATACACTTACACACAAGTTATTGTCATGAAACTAGAAAAATGCTTGTTTTTTGCCCCTTTTTTGGCCCCTAATTCCTAAAATTTTGAGGCAATAACCCCCAAAATCAATCCCAGCATTCCTTTTGTGATATGGAACCTTGTGGTACAATATCACAGAGATCCATACACTAACACACAAGTTATGTCTGGAAGTTACAAAAATGCTTATTTTTGGCCCCTTTTTGGCCCCTAATTCCTTTACTGTTGGTACCATAACCCCCAAAATCAATCCCAACCTTTCTTTTGTGGTATTGAACCTTGTGGTAAAATTTCATAGAGATCCATTCACTTAAACTAAAGTTAGAGTGCGAAAACCAATGTGTCTTCGGATGACGCCGGCGACGACGACGACGCCGCCAACGTCATACCAATATACGACCACAAAAATTTTTTTGCGGTCGTATAAAAAAGTGTGGAAAACTGATTTGCCAGACTGACGGACAAATAGACAGACAGACAGACGGACTGAGTGCAAACCTATAGTCCCTTTCGATTTCGTCGGTAGGGGACTAAAAATTCAAATAATGGGCAAAAATAGTAATTTAATCTTGCCTTGATAATTTCTGCTACAATGAACACCAAAACTGCTTAGATATTGTAAGCTTAGATATTGTAAATTCAATAGTTGGCTCATTTTGTAGATGAAGTATGCATCTGGCATCCAAACTTATAAGACTGGTATCTTTGATGAGTTTTTTTTTACAACCACTAAGTTGATGCAACATGCTGGTGGAGTTTTCCTTAACAGTTTATAAAACTTTGAATTGTTCCAAATACTAAGGATTTTCTACTTCAGAAGTCTGGGAGCCTGTTATCTTTGATGATTTTTCTTCCCCCATTATGTACATCAAACAGCAAAGCAATATCCATCCCTACTGCTTCATTGAGTCCAGGGATTTTTGTAAAAAGTATGGTGTACTAGATAAGTGCAATCAAACATACCAAATGCAGATTTTTTTTAATTTCAGCATTAAGTACCTATGAACCTTTAAACCAATGCCCTGCAAATTTAGTTGGGTATTTCTTTACTATGAGTTAGAGACTATTTAATTACCTATATAAAATCTAAAGTAAAAATTTTAAAGTAGGAAACTTTTTGAAAGTGGACAATTTAAACTTCAAAATTATAATAAATGTACTGGCAATGTAATTGACAAATAAAACATCAACATATCTTTACTATCATCACTTTCTAAGTAATTTTAAATTACTTAATGAAAGTATGAAAATGAAGAAAAAAATGTATTCTTTGTAAAGGGAGATTATTTGATATAATATGAATAACAAAACAATTAGTGTCATAGGCTTTGAACTTGGGACCTGTAGTATAGGTCATAAGATGGATTGAAAGTCAACCCCCCCTCAAAAAAACCTAAAAAAAAACAAGAAATAAATCATTTATGTAAAGCACATAACAACTATCTATTGAAATGCTGGCCATAGCCCTACCAATAAAAATTGCATAATAATATGTGTACAAACCAAAGCTTGCTTTAATCTCTGTCCATTGCATCTGTCGCCTCCTAGTGTCCAGACCAAAATAATTATAAAGGCTATGACTACTACGGTAATCAGCATGAACAAATAAACAAACAAATCATCTCTGTTCACCTGAAAAGAAAAAAAAAGTTGTAGTTACCTTAGTTTGGCCTGTCCAGTTGATAGATCATCCACACTGTTTAAAAATTTGTAAGTGTTCCACGGAACCCAGTGTATCGCCTACTTTTGCTGTTAGTCGCAGGCTCAACAAAAATGGGGAAAAAATTATTAAAAAATTTTCCTCTAGATACTATCTTTTGATTGTAAGAAGTTCTGTTCAAGTTTGGTAAAAATCCAAGAAGGTTTATGAATCTAATAAATGTTTTAAAAACTTTAACTGCAGACTGTACGTGATGTTAACTGGAATAAAACTAAGTCCATTTATAAGTAATATACGGAAAAACAGGAAATAAATTTTTACAAAATTTCCTTCTAGATACTAGCTTTTGATCATAAACAAGCTTCTGTCCAAGTTTGGTACAAATCCAGGATAGTTTAAGAAAGTTATTAAAATTTTGAAAGCTTTAACCACAAAATGAATGTAATGTTAACTGGCAGAAAAACTAAGTCCATTTATAAGTAAAATACAGTTAAACAGGATTTTTTTTTTAACAAAATTTACTTTTGAATACTATCTTATGATCACAAACAAGCTTCTATTAAAGTGTGGTACAAATCCAGGATAGTTTGAGAAAGTTTTTTAAATTTGAAAAACTTTAACCACAGAGTGAATGTTATGTTAACTGGCAGAAAAACAAGTCCATATATGAGTAAAATACGGATAAACAGGATTTTTTTTTTTACAAAATTTTTTTCTGGATACTATCTTATGTTTATAAACAAGCTTCTGTCCAAGTTTGGTACAAATCTAGGATAGTTTAAGAAAGCTATTAAAATTTGAAAAACTTTAACCACAAAGTGAATGTAATGTTAACTGGCAAAAAAAACTAAGTCCATTTATGAGTAAAATACGGATAAACAGGATTTTTTTTTTTACAAAATTTACTTCTGGATACTATCTTTATATGATCATGAACAAGCTTCTGTCCAAGTTTGGTTGAAATGCAGGATAGTTAAAGAAAGTTATTAAAATTTCAAAAACTTTTAACCACAGAGTGAATATTTGTGGCCGCCGCCGCCGCCAGAATGAAGGATCGCTATGTCTCGCTTTTGCGACAAAAGTCGCAGGCTCGACAAAAAAGAGACAACACCAAGATATTTTATTAAAAACTTAAAATTTTTGCCAGTTAATAACTCACTGAAAACATGGTTGAAGAGATATATATAAGCTAAAAATGACCAGTTAGATATATGTGAAACCTTATAGGGTCCAAGATAAGCAGATTATACATGTTTTACATGGCCAATGGTAGTTCTTAGTATCCAAACATTTTTCTGCAACTCTTATATTCCACCAAAGAAAATAACACCAAAAAGTTTATCATCCATCTATAGATTTATTTCTGTAAATTCAGAAACAACTATGATGTGGTAAGAAAACAGAATACACGAGGAGATGGTTTGATAATTGATCAAAAATTACATTTACCTACCCATGCTATGTTTTCCTCCTTCAAGAGAAAAAGAAGACCTTTTGTATAGAAACTTCTAGCAAGTTTTGGTAAGATTAGCCATGTAGTTTCACAGAAGATGAAAGAAAAGTCCCAATAGGGCATCAAGTCAACCATATATACCGCAAATCAGCAAAAATCTGACTGATCTTTTTAGATAGTCTCTCAATTATATATATATATAAATACCATTTGTTAAAATCAACCATTTAGAAACTTAATCAAGGATGGCCTTAGACAAACTGAAATGAGTAAATATTATAAAGAGAACAAAAATTCATTATTCCTGCCAACTTTGGTTCCAATTGATCTTGGGAGATGGTGAAAAAATCAAATGTTATTAACTATGTCATTAGCCAACACAGTCTGTTTGAACCAGATGAGTTGACAATATCCACTATGGGATGATTCCTTGGGTCACCATGTGGACAATAAACTGCAATTCATAATTATTGCATGTATTGTAAGATAACAGAACAGAGAAAAACATAGGTTGAGAGTCTGTATACATGTTTCTTTATTCAAAATAAGATTTTATTAGCTTTCTCACTTTTTCACATAGATTTACTGTAAATTCAGAAATTATTGCGAGGTTTTTATTATTGCAAATAATGTGACTGGGTGAATATCGCAATAATAAGAACTTGCATTATGATATCTGACAGATATATCAGTATGCAGCTTTTCCACATATTGCAATAATTTATCTTGCATTTTTTGTCCATTCTGCAAAATCGCAATAATATGGCATCTGGGACCATAAGAATACTGGCTAGTAGTTACTCTAGTATTCTGGGTTTTTTTGTTATAGCTTGAGAACAACATTATCATTAGTTCAATTCTACTTACTTGACATTTGTTAATCTTCTTTAAGAATCTACATAGTTGCCTGTTGACCTTGGCCTGTTTCCAAGAAGAAACTGTAGAACATGGCATCTTAGGGTAGATTCTCATCACTTTTAGGTCTTACATCTTCAAAATAAATTAAAATATATATGTTTGCTTAGATCATCAACTGAAAGTGTTACTTCTCTTTGTGCTGATGATATACACCAGTATGTTTTCTTTAAAATATAAATCAGAAGATTTGGTATGATTGTCTATGAAACAACTATCTACCAGAGTTCAAATGACATGAGCAATGAAAGGGGCCGACATGAAAAATATGTAACAATTCAAATGAGAAAACTAAAGGCTTCATTTATATTAACAAGACAATCATTTGACAATTATAAGCCAGCTTGTTTTTGGATTTACCTGGGAGTATCAGCATTTTATCAGATCACATTTCAGAATACTTTAACTAAGATTTTTACAGGATTTATGTATTCTAACTCTATCGTGTCTATTGTATTAAAAGAACGACAAAAATTTGTTTTGGTTACAAAACTTAATACTAAGCTGAGCAATCTCAAATCATTCTGTTAGCTTTTTTTTCTATCATTACTTCCAGGCTATGCGCATTTTGCAACTCATGTAGGAGCAGCTTTCAAGGGATTTTGTTGTCTTTTAATTAAGAAGTTGTTTTAACATTCTGAATTTCAATATTTTGTTTACATAATTATTATAAAATGAGCTCTTATAGTTGGTTTATCATATAAATTTAAAAGATAGTAAACAAAATCAATTTTCAGGGAAAACTGATGTGATAAAAAATGCAGATGAACCTAAACACAGATGATATGTCTATCTTTGTCATATTAAGGGAAAACTGAAATGTTTATCCCAGTCATTTGGTCTCTGGTGTATAGTTTTTTTTTGTAGTTGTCTCATTGGAAACTGTACCATAGATTTCTATCTACATGATCTACAATGTATGGTAATATAATAGAATGTGTAAAATTATTATAATTATCTAGGATAACTGTTGACAGAATTTTTAGAATATAAGTTAATGGCTAAACTAGTAGCAAAATCAGCCAGTAGAGCATTGGGATTGTTAATTGTAAAGATTAAAACTCAGGGAGGTTTCCAGTACATTGTACATATTTTTTTTACAAAACTGAACTGTATGATACTATGGTATGGTCAGTTATTCATTGTTATTAGTTGAAGTGCATGTATTTGTGGAACTAGGGACATTTCCTGCATAAATGCAGTCAGGGCCATGAGATTTTTCATGGGAGTTGGTAAATACATGTACAAAACAAATGATGCCATAGCTGATGACATGGGCTGGAAATCACCATGCTTTAAACAATGGACAACTGTCTTGAGACATTAGGCAAGGTGTTCCATAATGTTGGAGGTGTTATGAGTTATGTTTTGACACAGAATAAATTTTTAAAAGGTCCATACATGAGTGTAATACTAGAATAAGGAATTGGAGCTTTAATGTAATAGGTGTTGAAAATAAATAATTATGAGTAATACTGTAATTTTGAGATAAATGTATTTATAGCTTGCTGTTGGATGTGAGCCAAGGCTCTGTGTTGAAGACCGTACTTTGACCTATAATGGTTTACTTTTATAAATTTTGACTTGGATGGAGAGTTGTCTCATTTGCACTCATACCACATCTTCTTATATCTATTGACAAAAATAGTATTTAGCAAATTGAGGAAGATGTATTTAATATTTTTAATGCAGATTGATGTGCAAGAGTTGCTGCTTTAAAGGCAGAGGGAAGTAAATTAAGGACATACAAATTGCTTAAAAATTTGTAAGGGGTTCCGTGGAACCCTGTGTCTCGCCTGCGATTACTGCCGTCAGTGTAAAAGAGAATAAATATTGACATAAAAAGTGAGTCCATTTATCAGTAAGATACAGAATTTTTTAAAAAATTCAAACTTTTTCTTTATATGCTATTTCTTTGTCTTGAAGATTTAGCGTCTGTCCAAGTTTTATAACAATCCAAGACGATTTACAAATTTATCATGTCAAAAAATGTAATCCCAGACTGCCTGTAAATGTTAACCATAAAAGTCCATCTATCAGACAAATACATGTACTGAAAATGAAAAAAAAATTATTTTCAAAAGTTTGCTTCAGACATTATCTATCTCTTAATCATAATAAAAGTTTCAGAAAATTCTACATGTATGAAGGTTTGACAAAGTAATTGATGTGTAACAAACTTTAACCCCAGACTGTCTTTACTTGTTAACTGTAAAAAAAACTTAGTCCATTTATCTCTAAATCTAGCACATGAAGGTATATTTTTTATTACATATATTTAAATTGACTAATTGAAAAATAGCTTGTATGAAAATTTTCGTAAAAAAAATCACAGTTGGATCAAAACTTTATCGTATGCCCTTAAAGTAGAAACTGGAAGGTATGGAAGAAAAGATGTTCATGAGAGGACATGTTTTAACTGTATTTCTATCATTAATGATGAACTTCATGTCTTTTAAAATGCCCATTATATGACGTAAGTTGAAGACAAATCATGATACAAGAAGCTATACCTTTTAATGAATATTGTAACTTGTATCAGATAGAGAAAAATTATATTTTTATTTAAAAATAAAAATGTTGCTACTGTAGTTGCCAAAACTTGCAACAACATTGTCATGATTGTATTGAGGAGAAACAGTATTTCATTTCACTAGTTTTTAAAAGAAACAAAATGAAAAAATATTATGAATTAATATTGTAAAATTTAATAAGGTATATATATGTGTGTGTCTAAATATGTGACAACTTTACTACAGACATTCTTCATTGGATAACCTGTGGTTATGCAGGTGTAATACCACCAAATCATAGACTAGTACAAATGTATGTCACATCCGGTTTCATACAAAAGGGTTGAAAAAAAAATATTCCCCTGCATTTGACAGTTGTAGGAAGTTAACCCTGCATCATTGCTGAGAAAATTTCTGAGTCATAAATATATATCTTAGGTGTTTCAAAGCACCATTCTTTTTTTTTTATTTGATGTTTCTATGAAATATTTTGGAAACTTGAGGTGACATGGTTACTAAAGCTTGTAAACAGGAAAGAAAGGGGTGAAATTTTGATTGGTTATATTCTGGTGGTGGTTATTATCTTATATGCAATGAAATGTTATTTGAAATTTTCCTCTGCCTCTGTGACATCTTGACAACATCGCCTGCACTGTGTCCAGTGCCCTAGACCACTCGACAACTAGGCTATATAAAAATATAGCTTTCTTAGTCCAGTAATGCCTTTCCTCGTCGGCTTTATCTAGGGTTTTACACAGTATATGATGTATAGTGTCAAGTAGATGGTATACCTTGCAGATCAGCTATTTTTTGTCTGTCGTAAAGAATGATAATTTTACTTACCATGAAAGTCACATCAAATTTTATTTTTATTATAGATGTCTAACACAAATTTGCAGATGATTCGCAATAATTTTACAAAACTCATTGTACTAGGAAAATTTTCATCACATTTTTTTATCTTTGATAAAAGAGAATAATCAGTTATGCTTCAGTATACACGTTACCTCAATTTCATGTAGTGACGCAGGTCCAGACTTGATATTGATCATGTTCAGGTATACATTACAGTATTCTATTTTAGATAAAACCATATACTTCAATTAAAAATTAAAAATATTTGAAAATTAAAGAACACATGAATTCCTTGTTAATAATTTACAAAATCATCTATGAATAGAATTTTTTTATAAAACGGACTTTTGATTCTGGAATATACAATTTTTCGACAGGTTACCTACTCTGTGGTACTTGGTCAAGTACACATGTAAGTGCAAGTAAAAGAAGTAAAATCAAGCTTACAGTCTGTGCAATTTTTGGGGAAAATTAACTGTTTTCCAATGATTTTGCCATGTATAGAAAACATAAAACAGTTAATTTTCCTCCAAAACTGCACCAGTTGTAAGCTTGTTTTACTTGCTATCACTTTACCGAAATCCAGAACGTCCAACTACAGAGTACATGTAGGTAACCTGTCGAAAAAATTATATATTTCGGAGTCAACAAGTCAGTAAAATGATCAACAGGCTCTCAAGAGCCTGAATCGCTCACCTGTAATTTTTTGCTTAAATCTTTCATCAATGATTATTTTTGCTTTTCAATATATATATATTCATGAGTGGCTTAAAAATGCCATTTAAACGTCTTTGTATCTGTCATATTTTCTTCAAAAGCAAAAAAATGCATTTTACCCTTATGTTCCATTTTAGCTATAGTGGCAATGTTTCTTGACATACAAGGAAATAAAATACAAAATTTATACTATATACTCTGAAACTCATTCAGCCCAAGTTTGGCTGAAATTGATTCAGCAGTTTCAAAGGAGAAGATTTTTTAAAGTAAGCAAACAAGATGAACAAATTGTGAAAAATTGTCTTTAAAGGGCAATTACTCCTAAAGGGGTCAATTGACAATTTTGGTCATTAAACTTATTTGTAGATCTTACTTTGCTGAACATTTTTGCTGTTAAAAGTTTATCTCTATCTATAATAATATTCAAGATAACAACCGAAAACTACAAAATTTCCTTAAAATCATCAATTCAGGGGCAATAACCTAAAAATCAGATACCCGATTTAGCTGATAATTTCAGGGCAGATAGATCTTGACCTAATGAATACTTTAACTTCTTGTCTGATTTGCTCTAAATGCTTTAGTTCTTGAGATACAAGTCAAAATCTGCATTTTAGTTTTTACCCTATGTTCTATTTTTAGCCATGGCAGCCGTGTTTTCTGAGGAAACAGAAAATAAAACACAAACTTTATTCTAGATAACCTAAGAATCATTCAGCTGAAGTTTGGTTTAATTTGGTTCAGTAGTTTCAGGAAGATTTTTTAAAGTTAGAAAACATGATGACCAAGTTGTGTAAAATTGTCTTTATCTATATTAATATTCAAGAAAATTTCCTTAAAATTACCAATTTAGTGGCAGCAACCCAACATTGGGTTATTAGATTCATCTGAAAATTTCAGGGCTGATAGAACTTGACCTAATGAACATTTGAAGAAATTGTGTGGGTAATGTATATAATTTTTGGTAAACAGGGTAACATAATTTTGCTA